CGCTTGGTAAGTGGCGCAGTGAATGTTGAATTGAATCAAGCACTGCCTTTTCCGACCTCCCCCCTCCCCGCTTGCCTCCCTGCCAGCCCTGTGTGATCTGACTGACTTCCCCCGAAGAATTGGAGTCTGTTTGTCCAACCTTGTGATAATTTCCTTGTGGTAAATCTTGGTGATGGTGATCATGTCTTTTAAAATCGTGATACTGACCTTTAATAGCTTAGCTATCGATTTAGCAGTAAACAAATTCACCTATTTAGAAAGACGGAGGAAAATTGTGAGGTGAATGGTCTGGTGAATATCAGATGAAACTTTCAAAGAACTGTAAATGTGACAACGTAAGATTTAAATGAGTACTAATAAAAGGGAATAGGTTAGGGAAAAGCTACAGTTTATGTGGAAATATTTAGATGACATGTTGATTTGGAATACTTAATCAAAAGTTCTTTAATGGAAAAGATCAATTATTGAAACTTGGAAGAATACTGAAAGGCACTTGACTTTTTAAATGACTTATTTTGTTAAGGTATTAAAAGTAATCCTTTGGATCCAAATAATTTTAATAAGTGAAACAATGTTTATATGTATTTTACATCTGTTTCTATGTCATTACATCTGAAGAGAATGGCCTTATTTTACTGTTTTAGGGACTAACAGACTGTCCATGTTTCACTATGATAAATTCTAAAATACGATACATTTTAAAGATTTAAAGTTTAGTATTTTAAGTTGGCATGTTAAGTACCCATCTAACTTTTAGGCTAAGAGATGAAAATAAGCATCTGGTATGTGATAAAGTGAATAGAGATTACTTTTGAGGAAATTAATCTGCCCTTTAAAGAAAAAAACTTTTTTTCCAGCCTGTTCAAGTACCCCTGCAGCATTGTGGTTATAGATATCATGTATACACCCTGAAGAGCCAGACTGTATGGGTTCAAATTCCAGCCCTGCCTCTTACTACCTTTGTTATCTCAAGCAGTTCCTTAACCTTGCTAAACCAAGGTTTCCTGTAAAATGGGGTTCTTAACAGTACCCATCCCCTATAGGGTTGTTGATTAGATAAGATAATGCATCAGTTCCTGCATTCTGCAATTGTTAGCTATTACATACCATGTCTGAACACCAATAATATTGTCTCTTTCTGTGACTTGCTATTACATAGGTCCCTTAAACATCTTTTCAAGATTATTCTATGCTAAGAGAAATGATTGCACCCTTTTCCTGAGCTATGGCAGTCAGACCTGGCAGTGGTAACCACTCTACAGAACTCCCAAACCTGGCAAGGATGGTGCAGATTTTGGCAGATTATGGCTTTGTCCCTCCCCAGCACTGATATTATGAAGTGAGTATGACACCAATTTCCTATGCTAAATAGAGCTTCCAGATTCTAGTTTTTTATTGGTGCTAGTAAATAGATAAAGACCACTGATAAATATGCTTTACTATTTAAGAATGGTTCTTTGTGTTTCTTTTTAAGATATTCTCTCTGATTTCAGTATTCAGTTAATTATCATGAGTGATAAATAATTATTGAGATTTTGCTATACTAAAGACATTTTGCTGGGAATTATGGATGTGAATAGGTCATGGAAAATGACCATATTTTCTTAACTAAAAATCAGGAAAAAGTGATTTGACAGGCAAGTGTTTGAAGTCAGAACTGTTCCAGACAATCTAGACGCCATGGTTGCCTTTTATCCGCAGAGTTCCCTCACTCGACCTTCCCTTGCTAAACTTTTTATCCTTTATGAGTGACTCTGACATACCTTTCTGTTTCTAAATATCTTTGTTCACCACTCACCTTAGTTTTCATTTTTGAACTTGGCTTCTTCTCTAAGTTAACACCTTATTGACTAATTTTTCTCCTTTTATTTTATAAACCTGTCTGTCATTTAGCCATGGTCATTCAGCCCTTTACTGTTATGTTTTGAGTATTTCTTAGTACTCACCTGATAGCTTAAAATGCTCTTTCAGATAATTGAATTTCCAAGTACTTGTTTTCCCATCTTTTTTATCATCCCACAAGCTAACCTTGTAAGAAGCTTCTCTTTGGCAAGGGCAGTTGTACAGATATCTTTCACTTTGCAAAAATGGTGGGGCATTGAAAAGATGTGGTTACATTTGCTTTTTGCAAATCATATAATTTTTTATTGATATATAATATTTGTATATATATGTAAGGCACATGGGATATTTTGTTACATGCATAGAATATGTAATGATCAGGGCAAAGTATTTAAGATAGTCATCACCTAGAGCATTTATGACTTCTGTGTTGGTAGTATTTCAAGTCTTCCCTTCTAGCTATTTTGAAATATACAATATAATGTTGTTAACTAGTCACTCTGTTCTGCTATCAAACGTTAGAACTTACTCCTTTTATCTAACTTTATGTTTGTACACATTAAGCATCCTCTTTTTGTCCCCACCCCCCACCATACACATACCCTTCCCAGCCTCTGGTAACTATCATTCTACTGTCTACTTGCATGAGAACAACTTTTGTTTTTTTTGAGATGGAGTCTCGCTCCGTCACCAGGATGGAGTGCAGTGGTGTGATCTCAGCTCACTGCAACCTCCGCCTCCCGGGTTCAAGCGATTCTCCTACCTCAGCCTCCCAAGTAGCTGGGACTACAGGCATGTGCCACCATGCCCAGATAATTTTTGTATTTTTAGTAGAGATGGGGTTTCATCATGTTGGCCAGGATGGTCTCGATCTTTTGACCTCATGATCTGCCCGCCTTGGCCTCCCAAAGTGCTGGGATTACAGGCATGAGCCACTGTGCCCAGCCGAGAACAACTTTTTTAGCTCCCACGTATAAGTGAGTACATGTAGTATTTGTGTTTCTGTGCCTAGTTTATTTAACTTAAGGCTCACCAGTTTCATCCATGTTGCTGCAAATGACAGGATTTTATTCTTTTGTATGGCAAAATAATTTTTCATTGTGTATATGTACTACATTTTCTTTGGCCATTCATCCGTTGATATACACTTAGGTTGATTGCCTATCTTTGTTATTGTGAATAGTGCTATAGTAAACAAAGGAGTAGAGGTATGTCTTTGATATACTGATTTCCTTTCCTTTGAGTAAATACCCAGTAGTGGAATTGCTGGATTATATGGTAGTTTTTTTTATGTGTGTAATTTTTTGAGAACGCTCCGTACTATTTTCCATAATGACTGTACTAGTTTACATTCCCATGTCAGTGCATAAGCATCCCTTTCTCCACATCCTTGCCAGCATCTTGTTTTTTTTTGTCTATTTGATAGTAGCCATTCTAACTGGGCTAAGATGATATCTCATTTGTGGTTTTGATTTGCATTGTCTTGGAGATTATGATGTTAACTATTTTTTCATATGTCGGCTCTTTGTTTGACTTCTTTTAATAAATGTGTATTCAGATCCTTTGCCTGTTTTTAATGGAATTATTTGCTTTTTTGCTGTTGAGTTTGAGTTCCTTATTCTTATCGTTCTTATATATTTTTCCTAAGGTTATGGATATTAATCCCTTGTCAGATGAATAGTTTATAGATATTTTTTCTCCCATTCGGCAGGTTGTCTCTTCACTTTGTTGGTTGTTTCCTTTGCTGTGCAGTATCTTTTTAGTTCATAGTCCCATTTGTCCATTTTTGTTGCCTGTGCTTTCGAGGTCTTAGACATAAAATCTTTGCCTAGACCAGTGTCCTAGAGTGTTTTCCTTATGTTTTCTTCTAGTAGCTTTATAGTTTTGGGTCTTACATTTAAGATTTTAATCTATTTTGAATTGATTTTTGTATATGGTGAGAGAGAGAGGTTGTTTCATCCTTCTGTACATGGATATCCAGTTTTCCCAGCACCATTTATTGAAGAGAGTTTTCTTTTTCCAATGTACATATAATTTTAAGTTGTAGATACAGTTTTACTCAGGATGAGACAAGAGTACTTATAGTGAGGTCCCAGAGTTGAAAACAAGGGATACGAATTTCTTCTCAAATGGGAATATTATTAATCCCTAGAGACAGGTACTGGTATCATCAAACAACTTAACAGTCCACTATTTAAAGTAGATTTCAGTCTATAGATTCAGGATCCCTACTTCTTTTTTTTTTTCTTTTTTTATCCAGCCCATAATGTCATGAGGACCCCTACTTCTGAGGGATATATTACTTAAAGGTCCATTGCTTTTAAGTCTTGGTTGTAAGGAATTCCCTTCATAACAAAAATCATAAACTCTCGATTTAGTGCCTTTATAAATTTTATTTTTTCAACATCAAGTTTTATTTGAAGTTGCCACATTTAATAAATGAACATCCAAAACATCCTGTTGGTTGACTTCTGCTGGATTAGCATCAAAACCTCTTAAATCCCTAAGCCAATTGAAAAGGATATAGAGGCCAGATGCAGTGGCTCACGCCTATAATCCCACCACTTTGAGTGGCTGAGTCAGGAGGATGCTTGAGACCTGGAGTTTGAAACTAGCCTGAGCAACCAGGCCAGACCCTATCTCTACCAAAAAAAATTTTTCATTAGCCCTGTGCATTGGTGCATGCCTGT